AAAAAAAAAAAAAGTATAAAGCAAAAAGCAGAAGAAAAAAGATTTAAAAAATTGTAATATTCAATAATAGAAGAGCTGATCTTTTAAGTGGTGATTAGAAGTGGTTGAAGAAAAGTGTGGAGTGGCTTTTCCAAAAATATACAAAGAGAAAAAAAAGAAAAGAAGACATGAAGAAGAAGCTGAAGAAGAAAATGAATAAGGAAGTTAAGAAAACTGGAGAGGATAGAGAAGACCAAAGCAGAGGAGAATGAGAAGAAGAAGAAGAAGAGGAAGAAGAGGAAGAAGAGGAAGAAGAAGAAGAAGGAGCAGAAGAAAGAGGAGGCAAAAAAGAAGACGAAGAAGCATCAACACTGTCATCATCAGTCCTCCAAAATCTTCAGCTTTATCCTTCGGTAACCGACATTCTCAACAACAACAACGGCTAATAACAAGAAAACCATATGGAATTGTTGTTTGAATATATCCATTAAAATCAACATTTTAAATTTGTAATCATTAAAAAAAAAATAGTCAACCAAAAAAAGAAAAAAAAGTGCCAATTTTGATGTTCAAATTGAATAATTTGTATTGCCCAAAAATGATTTTCTACAAAATTTTCTACAAAAAAAAAAGAACAACAAAAAAAAAAACAGCCTACCAATTCAATTGGTTATTATTTTTAATTAGCCAAATTTTATTTTTCAACTAAATTTTTCTATATAACATATGTCATATATTTTCCTTTGATTTTAATGTATCGATGTGTGTGTGTGTGTTTGGGTGTTTGCAGTGTTTGATAAATGGTGCTTTTTCAATGTTCAAACAGCCCGTAATCCGAAAACAAATTTTTTGAAGTAATAGAAAGCAAATAAAAACAGCAGCTATCGAACTCTCTTAAAAAATAGTTTTTAATATCGAGAAAAAAAAAACACTAAATTTTTTATTTAACATTGAGAATGAAATTACAAAATAAAAAATAAAAACTACAATTTAGTTCTGTTTTTTTCTTTTCAATTTCACTTTTTCTTTCTTTTTTGAAGGACTTACAAAAGTAAGTTCTAAGTATTTTACTTCGAATACCTTAACTAAATTAGACAGCACTGCCAATAAGAATTCTAATCAAATTTTTAAACTGCCCTTTCTCCTTCATCTCCTCCTCCTCCTCCTTCTCCTTCACCTTATC